CCAGTGGAGGGATTTGTGCTGTCCTTGGTGCGTTCTGTCTGCTGCAGCCAAATGCTCACTTGTGTGTCCCGTTTGTTGTGGAAGTGTTTCCACACTCTTTCCAAGCTCAAAGTGCGGTATGGTGTTTGTTCTTCCTGGAATTGATGGGATCCATTTTTCTGTCCGCACGCAGTCCCATTGACCACGCTGCTCATATGGGTGGATTGCTTTTTGGAATGTAAGTCGATTCGATTGCGGCTGTCTTGCAACTAAGGAGTCTTCTTTGAACAGGTTTAGGAATGCTTGAAATTGCAATTTGGCTTCCTTGATCAACGGGTGTCTGTTGTCAAAATTTCCGTACTTCTTGTTAGACTGCTTTAGCTTGTTTTAACTTAAGGTAGCTATCGTTTGAGGAATTTATGTTCAGCAGTTTACCTAATGTGAGTAAACCATCGACGAAGAAAGCCTTACGGACTGCGGTTCAGTGACCCTAAAAAAATCGAGCGTTGTTCTGTAAAGCTAGACGCGTCGGGAGACTGTGTGGGTTACATCTTACGATCTGGCCGTGGACGAGCAAATTCTGTTCGGCAATAACATCCGCTAATATAGGTACTACGTCCTTGCTTCATATGGCGCTAATCGTAAGGTCATAAGAAATCTGGACAGCCCGCCACTGGTTTCGATCCTCTTCGGTCTCATCAGCCAGGCTTATTCCCCCAGTGCCATCAGCTTTGTTTTCTACTTGAACTGAATGTTTTTTGGCGAAAAACACTCATTTGCCACGTAAACTGATGTCAAAGGGAAACAATTAAAGTTCCGTATTTCGCGTTTGTCATTTTTAGTTGCTTTGTTTGCGATTGTTGGTCTCAGTCAAGTGAAAGGTTTTTCTCAGGATGGGCCTTATGGGCATCCATTTTCGTATTAGTCGACTTTAACTCGCGCTAGATCTTCTGCCCACGCTGGTTTGGAGAACGGCTAGGTTTTTCATTTATTTAGGGTTCGCTCTATTCCATCCGATGTCTTCGGAGCATTACCCGAGTCTGCCGGAAACATTGGTTCAGTAATGCTGAATTAGGTCTAATGGTTCTTGTAGGAACTAACTCCCCCACAATAGATCAACTGACCACGCGCCACAAGTTGCCCTGAATTGTTCGACAGACTATTTCGGCTAGCTCTTTTTACACAACTACTCGGAGGGAGTACTCGAAGCGGGTTAGGTCAAGGAATAACTTGGCAATGAGGTACGAAAGTCACTACCAGCAAACTCAGTTGCGCGGGTCATTGCCTTGCTCCTTGGATAAGGATCCTGACGAACATGGCCCCGTCGTTCTCTGCGCACACGCATCCAAGCTGCTAGGTTCAATGAATAGAGCTTCCCTTCTGACTTACCCAGTGAGCAGTTCACCGACAACCATGTGTTGACGCATCAATTACATCAACTACCGCTTTCAATGCGTAGCTATCTATTTGCCCCTTTCTCCCCAGCTCCTCGGCGAACGAAACTGTGGCTACTCTGCTGGCCTTAGGACAAGTACAGCTGAAGATGATTCTGGTGATTCGTATCCAGAAAATAAGTGCATCGAAACCAAGTTAAAGCGCTCCAAAAATAATTCTTCTGTAGTTGTTCTCAGTCTTACCACGGTTATTTCCGATAGGCTGGACCTATTGTGACTGTAGCTGGGTGGGCTTGATTATAAAAGTCTATGAACAATCAGTGGTTGTCTCGACAAGATTACTAACATCCGACCAGTAAACCGTCTTGAACAGTCGGTAGTCTGCGGTAGTCGGTGGCTGCAGATATTCTAGACATCACTACTAGACTTTACTATTCAGAACAGAGCTCTGAAGACAAAGTTTCAGGTGCCTTTGGCGAACCTAACTATGATGGAATTTATTGTTCCCTTTCACAGGTACTACAGTGGTGGTGGTATGGACGCAATATGGAAACGTCGAAACACAGTTGTCTCTCAGTGGCGCAAGTGGCGTGGGGAATGATACGAATGGATTTAGCATTACGAACCAATGAACAATTGTACAGTTCTGGTGGCGTCTTTTGCCAGCATACGCAAAAACATCTTGTGTGTTACGCGACTTTTCTCTCTGGGTTTGGGTATTCCCTTTTTTTCCTTCTTCAACTGTCTGAATGGCTGTATGTATGTATCGTAGAAATCAACCGATGCCTTGAATGGGGTGGACCGTACATAGGAATTCGTTCACAGGGATTGCAGCATTTCAGTTGCTTGTGTTAGTTAACCATTCTGCGTTTGTGAAAACCGAACAGATCCTATGGGAAGAAGGTGGGGTCAGTTCAGTTCGAACCTAGGCATCCTGTTTAACTCCACACCATTTGTGCAGGACTTCGGTTCCGGAACACTTCAGGACTTCTTTTTCTAAAAGACCGGAAGGTCCGTGGTTCGAACCCGACCTCTACCTCTTGACTTCCCCTGTCTAGGCTTGGGCGACCTGGCAGTATCCTAGCCCTCGTGCCTCCTTCGTGTGACATGGCAGCTAGACACCGAAAAGGTGCTACAGCTGAACGATTATTACATTAGATTTCTAAAAGACTTATGCTCAGTAACCCCTGTTTGAGAATCAGCTTTGGTAAATTCTCGTGGCAGAGAAGTTTTCTTCAAAATAAGGGGTATAAATTGGTGTTCAGTGTTATTGTTATTCTGATCTACCCCCAGGTTCTGACACCGGACTAGTTCGACACTAGTCTTCCGTATTGCTACATCACTTAGTTTACCATGTGTGCTTCAGTGAACGCTTACTGAACTCCATCCAAAAGACATTCACGAGCCTCCAGATGCCTAGATTTTCCACACCATGCCTTGTCGGGTCAGTACTCATTCCAGCGTCGCATGATGCACCCTAAAAAATGACACCCAGGCTATCTTCAGTAGCCTTTTGCACAGAATTGCTGCAGAACTCAAGCCAGTCGCCCTCGTGACCCGTCGATTTTTGTTGTGACGAGTGTTTCTGTCATATCATTCTTGCGCTGTTTTACCAAAACAAGAAATCTAAAGGTAGGATCAAACCGAGGGTGGTTCAGGCAGGCAGGAGGTTCTCAAAGCCAACTATTAACTGGGCGCCTTAGACATGCACTTTGCTGTAAATTCTATTAGTACCGTTTCCTGCCTCGCCCGCTTGCCAACTGCATTGGGATCGATTCGGAGGGATCGCTTGTGGACCATCCTGAAAGTCTACTATATAACTGGTAAAGTAGTCCCTTACTAACAAAGACTTTCATCTTCCAAGCCTATAGAACATACTTCATCATCTGGATCACAAATCTCGACTACCACTGACACGAGCTCCGCGCAATGCGACATTAGAGCGCATTGTGATCCTCGGTACTGTCAGCCCGCATTCTTCGCTTTCTGGCTAGAAATAAAGGCCTGTGAAAGAGAACTCTTCGACACAATGATGAATACTCCACAGGACTGTTTGTCTATCTAATGAACAGAAGAGAGAGATCACTGCTAGCGTAGACAACCCTCAGAGAATCTGCGCACAGCTGTACAAATCCTCATAGGGGGAAGGTAAAAATCAGTTTGGTAATTTACCAGCGGCAATGATTGAAGTACATTTCTCGTCTTATCTTGAAGATGAGGCTCCCGTGTACTACACTGCAACCGGTTCTTTGACGCATGACGAACCCGACCTCCGCCTCTCGACTTCTCCTGTCTAGGCTTGGGCGACGTTGTACTACCCCATTCTTCGTGCTTCCTTCGGGTGGCATGGAAGCTAGGCACCTAAAGGGTGTTAAAGCTGGACGATTATTTATTTTTCTTTGTTTTTGCAGGTTCTTCAGCTATGTACTGTGAGTTTAGCTAACGACGACAGATAACTATCGGATTTACAGGGCATGTTTCGCGACGGACTTAACCTATCCGAACCTCTTGGACTAACAAGTTTGCTTTGAGTTCTTCTACGGTCAAACTGCAACAGAACTTACCATGCATGATTATGAGAGGTTAATTAGAAGTAGTGAGTAATCCTACGCATCTTGGGAAGGGTGGTTTTTCGGCAGACAGCTTTCAGATTTTCAGCGGGATTGGATTGATCTGTATCTGTACATAAGAAAAGCGGAAGAGAAGTCATGGGGACGGCGTTTGATACTATCACGAATTCGAACAGAACTTACGTTGGGTCATGCGTAATATCACGGAATTAGGGTACAAATCTAGACCAATGAGGCGTGCCGGACGTTGGTAGAACATGAGGTACAGTCAGATTTCAGTGGCGTTGGATGTCCTCCTTGTGTTAATTTGAAGTGATTTCTGCATACGTGGTTGACCACGACCATCTTCTGGATTCCACGGTGGCTAAGGTATGAACTTATTGACTGGAAGATCCCTGGTTCGAACCCAGCACCTCGACTACTGTGTAGGCTTGGGCACCGTGACATTACCTCAGCGCCAGTGCTTCCCTCGTAGTTGGGAACCGAAGGGGCATCACAGTTAAGCGATCATCCTAGGTCACCTGTAGTCGTGTTTCAGAGACCTGACCACAATGTAGCATTACTTAGCAGTCGAGGGAACAGAACAGGCTAACGGTAGACGCAATGAAAGAACAACTAGCATGGGAACTGGAAGGATAAGCTGGAAGAGGCGCAGAAGGTCAAGAAGCCAAATTTCACGAATGCGCACATGGTGTTGACAGAATAAGTTTATCAGCTATAAACTCTGTACCATAGCCACGTTGGTTCCAGCTGCTACAGTTACGACCACCGGAAAACGGGACAGTGTGGGACATACAGCCGAACCTTGGAAGCGATGGCACATCCGGTTTGTTCGGCAACTGGGTAGCTACGCAGTGAAGGCGATAGCTTTGATGCACAAGCGCCATTGACTGCGCGATTGGGCCATTCCTGCCAATGTCACTGACTATTGGTGAGTTGAGTCCCGGGGTCGCCATCCAGGGAGGCGCCAGCTGCCGACCTGACTAAGTTTACTGGTTAGTGTTTTCGCACTTCCTTGCCAGGTCGTACACTGTCCACATCTCGGTTGCTTCCACTCAGCACAGGACATGTCCTCTGCGCGTAGGGTCCGCGTTTCTGATACATAAAGCAGTTTGGATCTTACCGCCCCAGTGTAAACTGCCCTTGAAAAGCAAACTGGCGTTACGTTGGCGCCATAGGTGTCGAGGGTTAGCATAAGCCGCACTGGACTTTCCGATTCGAGAAATGATCTCATCCCCAGGCAATCCACAGGCACTTGTACAGGTAAACAAGTTTGTCTACCACGTCGGTTGGCTCGTCTGCGAGCATGTGTGGATTTGATCCCAACCAGTGCTGCTGCAAGCAGCACTTTACAAGTCTGAAATGCATGCTAAACCGTGAGGCAGGTTATTTGAAATCGTCTGCATTTCTGAAGGATCTAAATCAAGGAGACCAATATCGTCTGCATACTCAATGTCTATGAGCGAACGGCCTGGGAGCATTTCGACTTTCTACTGACTGTGTTCACATTTTCGTTGCAGAGGACAGTACTACTTTACCTCCAGACCGCCCCGTATTACTCGCGGTACGGGGCTCAGTGTTCCTCGTCGGGCTGTTCCTCGTTGGTCTTTAGGAACTGAGTTCAAGCTAGCATAGCCGGCAGTATCCTTGCAGCCCAAAAGTCCGACCACCACGACAAGGTGACAGGTTTAGGTCGGGTGTAGCGAAAGGCTGAGTGGTGTCTGGAGAGTGAACTATGGTTGTCTTGTCGATGAGGCTAATCCGTGTGTCTGTGTGTTCGCGGATTGCAGTAAATTACAATGCAACGGTTCGCGAATATACGCTACCCTAAGTGTGGTACGGTGGAACTATTAACATAAACAGATTGACTAACCATGAGGTTGTTTTGCTATCTTCACTGAGACAGCTGACGATTTCTAACTGCTCGTACCCTGTAGATGTAATTATTCATAAGGTTGTTGGAAACTCATCGACGACCTGCGACCGGTTTCACTGACTGTCAGGTAGGTGCACTCACCGGGTTCCCATCAACCTCATGTACTACGTGAACCCAGATTGATCAATACCATAAATGATAGATCCAGCTTGGATTCATTTGAGTCCTTTGAAAAACAAAGTGGTATGCAAACAGGCCTGTTTGGCGAATTTCGTATAACTGGGGTTCAATTAGAACATAAGGTTGACGGAGACTCTGATGTGTCACAAGAAGGAGGAAACCGATCGGTGATTGTCGAGTTGCTTTCAGCAGCCTTGTGAGTAGTGTGCTACGTCCAGACAAGGTATTGGGATATCTCTAATATCATAGCAACTGGAACTAGGATTCGGGTGTGTTCCGTGAGAATCTAATTGGTATGCAAGCGGGTGTATTTGTCGAATGCTTGCACTCTGTCTCGCTGCTTCGTCCGACCTATCGGCTTTCGTGTGTATTTTGTGTCCTCTTACAAGATAATCGCCCATTGATCAACTCTTGGGGTTCTTCAGCAAGCCACTTCCACTTTGGTTGGATGAGTGATCGGTATCGGACTGTCTTCAATGTTTTCCGTGGTTGTCGCACTACTGGATTAATCAATCAATCGGGTTAACCAGCTTAGTTGGGAATCGGGTGCGGCTTATTCCACTTCCTGTTCTAATGTAAAGCACGACCGATTTGCGTAGCATACACACAATGAGGGGCACTGTTCGTGGACATAGAACGAGGACCACTTGATCGAGGAAGTTTTTCAGTAATATGGTGAACAACTTTCTGCATTGCCTCTGGTGTCCCTTAATAATGCAGCATACTAGAATCACGTGATTTGAAATAATTATTCCACACCTAAGCTCACACCAGCAGGCTTGCATCGCCAACAACCAGGCCACAAACGAATTCATTAGCAAGTGCCACGTGTCCAGTTTCTATTAGAACTCCGTTCCGTGGACCTTCAGCCGACTAAGGCGACTGTGGTTCACTCATTAAGTTCCATCCGTGTGTTGTGTTCATCTGCTTAATGTAACTATCCCAATTATTAAACCAGCTGAATAGCTTTCAGCTACGGTTTGGCTCGACAAGGGTGATTCTAGGGTTGAATATCGTTACTACTGTGGGTAGCTCAACGGAAGAATGAGTGAAATTTCTATATGAGTCGCTGCTCGAGGGCTATTCAACACGTGTGACAGCTTGATGTGGATCCCATGATTGAAGGATGAGCGGCGCTGATCATCCGCTCATGGCTGAACGGTTAAGTATTCAAACTACTAACCGGGAGGTCGCGGGCTCGAGACTCTTCGGAATTTAGTGAGATGCGCACTGCTGATGATTTCCAATAAGGATGAAACGGCTGTACAGTGCTTCTCGGCTTTTCAGCATAGATTGGCTTCACTTACAGGACGAAATTTCCGCATCGTTATGATGTCAATGGTAGAAAACGAACCTGATCCAAATGTATCGACCAGTACTCCGCACTGAGAATCTAATTGTTGTATCTCTTCACCTTCCCTGATGCTACCGGGTTACAGTCAGAAGACAAAAAGGCGACCTGAAGAACTGTGCGTTAATGCAATTACAACTTCCTGTTTACATGATTCACTTGTGACCATATTTGCTGGTTGATCTGCTCTCAACCAACCAGTGTGTCATTGAACACCTCACACAGGTTCTCGGGCGGTTGTTCCTTTGTCTCGGTTAATCATAGATGGTCGTCTGTGCGCCTTGACCATGGGGTGGGCATGAAATGCATATGTCCCTTTTTGACTTTTCTCCAGCACTTGATGAAACCGGAAGTGTGGGCGTACTCGCATGGCACTGCTTCACCGCAAGATTGTTCCGCTGCGCAGTAGGCTGGTGCGCAGCTGTGTTACCAATACACCCAAGTGTATCAACCGTCAGCTAATTTACTTCATGTTTGTCTGAGACTACCACTTCAAGGGCCGGTTATCGACAGACTGGGCGATAGGAGTAAATGCGTGATACAACCTAAATCTAGATAAATTCTGGGATAGGGGGAACCATACTTTGAACGGCACACGACAACCCACTGATATATGGTTCACCACTACCATTTCCAAAGCCTCGTCTGCGAAAGAAGAGCCAGTTAGATTGGAGGGTAAGTGGAACCACCAACAAAGGTATTCGTTTTTATATCGATTTTCGCAGCTTCCAGTCAACCTAAAAATTGAAAACGTCAACTCTGCAGTAGTTCTCATTTTCGTTCTGATACTCCCGTACTTCCCACTACTTGTTGGATCCCAACCTAAAGCTGTCACCTTATCATATTGGTTGGGCATCGGTTCTGCAATGATCCTGTGGGCCATAGTTGCAGAAACCCAGTTCAGCCATGTCAGAAAAGTTAATGAGGAACAGTCCACCGAAGGGCAGTGGGGTCCCCTGTTGCGAGAAATCGTTTTACGAGGCAGTCTAGAGGTAAAGTCGTACTGTCCCCTGCAACTGGAGTGCGAAGGTAGTCAGGCGTTTCATTCAGGCGACCTCCATACCTATGGAAGCAACGATGCCGCGTTCGTGGCGCCACTTGACCATTAATCCCTGGCGAACGATCATCATCATCATCGGCAGCATGACATCAGTGTTCAACACCGATGCTTCACTGCCGTACAACCATGACTTATTTGAAAGCCTTATTGTAAAGAAAAGATTAAAGGTAGACAAGGAAGGAACTTAGTGCTAGCTTACCACAATCATTCTGAGGTGCCTACACCTTCAGACATTCACTCAGGCAATCTGGAAAGAAACTGACAACAATAACGCCACTGACATCGGTTGGCAGCCATATCTTGTAGTGTCTCCAACCAGGTTCA